ATCACCTGAACTGAGGGATGCTATTAAGCCATAGCTCAGAGAGGAGTTAAGAACAGACGCTCAAGATGCTATATATGCTGTGAACAATCAGAGAATGGTGAGAACAGTGGAAACAAAAGTAAGAATAATATCTATACTGTTGATTGCTTACCTGATTCTTACTTGATTACTTACTTACCTGATTCTCTATTTAGTATTGGATATAAAGAAGCAGTTTTCCATTGAATCTTTACAGTAATTTTGTGAGGACCAAATTTTAATTTCTACCATATTAAAAAAGGGAAAAGTAGAAATTTAGGTTTTGAAGAGTTTTATGTTGCTGAAAGTCAAAGGATAGTAAGTGGTAGAGACAAATTTGGAATTTATACCTGATTTCAGAGCCAAAATCTAAAACCTCAGGTCACAGTGGCTCAGTCATAACAAAGTCAGCTCAAAAGCTAGATAAGAGTTTTTCAACCCCCTCTCTTCCTCTCCAACTCTCATCCTTTTCTTCCATACACTTCATTTAAAAAGGACTTATGTGCATCAGCCCTGGAGCTCTAGAGCTATTCACAGAAGATGGGAGTACACATAGGGGAATATTCTTAGACAAGGACCTAATGTGGGGAGCAAGGGACTTGAAGAGATTCCTGGAAATAAAAAAGACTTAAGAAGGGCTCGAGTTCTTAAATGATTTTCGTGTTCAGGCTGATATGGCCTCAATGGCCCTTCCAGCTGATGAGCCATTCAGATACAATGGTAGTTGCCATAGATTGTGCATTCCTCAAGTGCTTCTAGATCTGTAAAGTGTAGGGATTAGGATGAGATGGTCCCTAGGGGTTTTTTTTGAGCTTTAACAAACTATGAACTCAGAATTTATTTTCAAATTTGCAGCTATAACCAAAATTGGAAGAGGATGAGAAAACACTTTTATGCTGATTATGATTCTATGAAGAAAAAAGCTGGTATGGGGTGGGAGGAGAGGATAAAAGGAAGATGATATGGCTCATACAGATAAGCAATAATCTGGAAAGTTAGCATATTTGAAACACGACTAGAATATTTTGCTTCTATTTCTTTATCTAGACGATTCTAACAAAATCAAGAAAATTATGATTGTAATCCTTTTCCCTGAGGCTACTTAGCCTGGCCTGAGTGTCCCTTATTGCCTATAACTGGGTCAGGCTATCTAACCTCTGGAAGATCCATATGAAAGCATCTAAGAGGAAATTATTGTCTTTCTTCGGTAATAAATGTCATGAGAATCCACATGAATATTAAACACATGAAGGAACTTATTTATATTATCATCTTTTTATGTATCCTTCCATCCATTATCCATTTATTTGGTAGCCACTCACTTAGTATTTACCATATGTTAAACACTGGGTGGATATGGAAAAAAAGGGTTTGAAAAAAGATACATTTTTTCCCCCCTTGGAAATCTCAGAGTTCATTTGTGTAAATATTATTATTGGAATTTCCCTACTCACTTCATACATATATTGAAAGCTTAATTCTCAAAGTGATGCTATTAGGTGGTGGGATATTTGGGAGGTGATAAAGTGATGAATTTGAAGTCCTCATGAATGGGATTAATTTTATAAGGGTCCTCAGAAAGACTCCTTACCCCTTCCGCCATGTGAAAACATACTGAGAAGGTGTCTGTGAATCAGGAAAACAGTCCTTACCAGACATAAAATTGGCTGACACCTTGATCTTGGACTTTCTGGCCTTCAAAACTGTGAGAATAAATTTCTTTTGTTTATAAGCTTTTCAGTTTTTGGTATTTTGTTATAGTAGACTAAACGGACTGAGACAGTAAGCAGCAGACAAAGCTAGTTTCAGCCAGTGTGTTAACTATTATGGCTGAGTATAAACCACAGAACAGACATATCTTATAAAGCCAGCGGGACAGCCTTGAGTTGGGTATCGGAATATGAGTATGAATTACCAGGGAAATAAGAGGAAAGGCATTGCTGAAGTAGGCAGTTGGAAAGATACAGGGGAGGGTTTGCACGGCATGCATTTCAATAGCAAGCAATTTGACATGACTCAAGCAGGTAAGATATTAGTGAGCAAGAAGAAAAGAATTGGGCCATTTCATAGGGAGGTTGGTGTAGTATATCAAGATGTTTTATTTTATCATGTGGATAATAGTGCTACTGGATCAGTTCAGACAGAGTAACTTATTCCTCAATAGAATGATAATGGAATTATAGAAAGTAAAGTGTCTTTACCTTGATAATCATTTGTGAATCCCCAAACTCAATGTGACTTCTCATTAACACCATCTTCCTTTGCACCTGTTCTCATTTTGAAGTTCTCATCTCCAATATTACCTAAAAGCACTAAAAAACTAATGATTCTATTAAACCCCATAGCTCAATCCATTCAGAGTTTCTAGATATCAAAGATATTTTAAGTTCTTAGGTTATACCAAGTTCAGTCAAAACTGGAGACTACTCTCCCTTTGGTGTTCTGGCAAAGCTGTGTGAGAGCTTTCTGTCATGACTAAATCTCTTTCCTGTGCGGTTTCATTCTGAATTTCTGAAGAATGCCCTCCTAGGGAATTACATATGGGTTCTTTTCCTCAATTTAATCATGATTTATTGGTAAAGGTAGAAAAATTAGCAAAACAGAGATTGTTACTCTGATATATACTCATACAGTTGCTTGAAAAGACATAAAAAGGAAGAAGGAGACAGGGGGAAAAGACAATGAAGTGTGAAGGAAGAACAGTACAAAGACAGAGAACAAGGTCACAGAAATCAATAATGAGAGAGTTGTTTTAGGAAGTAAGATCAGGATGTAAAAGGCATCAAAGCATCAAAGAAGATAGCAAAGACTCAGGGTTCTCATGAGACTTCATTCATTCCACTTGTACACACTTTTCACACTGTTGTGTGTAATTATATACACACCTAGTCTTATTTTTTATTTTATCTGGGCATTGAGAGAATGAAAATAAGTTTGTCTAAAATACAATACAGTCATGTAATAATTTCTCATAAACCAAAATGGTTTCCAAGAAAAGAAAAAAAATTTAGTCAGACAGAAAGATGAAAAAGACTAGCTCATATATAAGGTAGTGATCTAAAAATTGAAAAAAACATAAAAATTCTGATAAATATCCAGAAGATGAATTGAAAACAGAAGTTATTCTCATGTAATACCAGCTTAAATGTTTAAGTAGTATCCAAATATCTGTCACTTCCTTAGTAACATACTTTAATATCTGGTTTTAACACTCCTAAATGCAGTGACTTCCTTTTGATGCTATCCTAATCAATATGATCATGTCTCTTGAATTTTATCCCATACTTTGAAGTCACAGTTTGACTCATGAAGAATTCCCATCCTTCCTTACAGCTGTTGAGTTGGGAGGCTTCACAAGAGGAAGTAGCTCCCATGGCTCTCCCCACACTTCCTTCCTGGTTGTGTCATTCCTGGGTCTGGGTCATCCAGCTGCATCCAGAGGATGTGAACATTACTCACAGTGAAACTGTATCTGGGACACAACTTTTTAAGAGACACATCTCTCAGCTTTGATTTGTGTTAAAATTTATCAGAAAGTCATTCAAATCTAAAAGATGTGGTCAAAACTGATATATCCGGAAAGTATCCATTATGAATGTGATATTGTATATCTTTATTTCCATGTTTTTACCAATTTCTGTACTTAAGTATTCTCATTAATATTTTTTTCAAAAATTTTGAAGGTGGGAAACACCTTTGGATTGTAAATTGTGACAGAAAGACTTTCTGAAAAAGTTTTTGAAACAAATGTTGCTTCACAGGCAGTAGAACCTCTCCTCTTCTCTTCTCGCCTCTTCTCTCCTGTCCTCTCTTCTCCTCTCCTCTTATTTTTTGTTAAGCAAGTGAAAGCATTCCTAATAAGTATACCCTAAAAAATGGCTACCTATGCAACTTGGGGGTTGGACACAATAACAGCTTCATAGGAGGGGATCTAAAGAAATGTTTCCAGGCAAGCTGATTGGATTAGGCTACTATGCATTTGATGGTTTTTCTACACTTAAAGTTTGCTGTTAACACTTCAAGAAAGCAAGGCTTACCTCTTTGAAATAACTATTTTGAGCACTGTGGCTGTCCTCTTGGCTTCATGTTTGAACTTTGAAAATTTGAAGATCTAAAGTATAGTCTATTTCCTACTCCTATGTGGAGTGGGGTGTATGCATCTTTTTCTCTATTTTCTCTGCATCCCCTGCCATTTTCAACAAGCAATTCTTATTCCACAGTACTTTACAGTTCTCTGATTTAAACAACGTCATTTGTTTCTTGAACTTCTTAATGAACAAAAATAAGCATAAATAGTGTATAATTTGCTACAGGCATTATTTTAAGGAAAGGCAGTGAATACAGTTATTTAAAAATGTCTTAGGCTTATCTTTTCTAGACAGGTCAATCTTAGTGCAGAGATAGGTGAGGAAAGAGCTTATGTGACTGTTTTTTCTTTGAGATTTAAAAAAATAAGAAAATAAATTCTGATGTTCAATTTCAAGGCAAGTGATAAAGATCAAAGACTCATTTTATTACAATATTTTCATTTTTATTGAACAGATTCACTTTGGACTTTGGCTTGCATTTAGAATGTTTACCTTTTAATAAGTGATCTGTTTAAATGTGGACCAGAGAACAAGGGTTTCTGTTTTACAGTTCAACTTTTGACCTTGGGGGATGAATGGGTGGAGGCTAAGAGGAAAAGTCCACTGTGTTTCTACTGAACTTTTTACCCTTAAAAAAAAATGAGCAAGTTTAAAGTTCACACAGTGCACAAGAGGTCTCCACTGGGGATTTCTGGTATTATTAACTTCCTGACCTCCGATAATTAAAAAGGAAGAGCAGAGCAACCTCAGACTGTGACTCAACTTTGAACTTTTAACCTTTCAAGCAAAGTATTTAAATTGTAAATGGTAGACCCTGGACGCCTCCTTATTGCTGTTAACTTCCTTCATCCCTGGTCACCAATTTATAATCTAGGCCAAAAGCATAGTCTGATCCTTCCCTTTTTATTTATTTAGCCTCTTTAGCAGAAAGGACTGAGAACACTGTTTACCTAGAAATGACAGATACTCTGGTGAAAGACAAGTTATGCTTCAGGGGTCACTGAATATTGGAACTGGAAGGAACCAATGATTACTTGTCCAGCTCTCTCAGTTTGGAAAGAGAATACTGAGAACCAGTAGGTTGACTGACTTCCTTAAGGTCAGAGGATTAATGGAACAAAAGACCATCTCTGATTCATTGACTGTTTTGTTTCAAGATACAGGATTCAGGCATGATTGGGGGTAAGATATATTTTCCTGTGCAGTAACATTGTCTGGATCTGTGTCTTCTATTTTTACATTCAAACTCCTAAGGAGGAAAAATAACTGAATGGTGTCAGGAGGGTGACTTCTGTGGCCTTGTTGGTTGTGTAACCTTAGCAACTCATTTAACTTTTCTAAGTTGTGATTTTCTGGGTTATAAGAAATTGAGAGGATGTAATAATCATGTAAGATCCTTTTATGACATTTTTTGGTTTAATAAAAATTTTTCCTTAAGAATTATCTTCCCCCTTCTCCCCCCTCCCCCCGCCTCCTTTCCCTTTTTATTTTTAGTGCTGGGGCTTGAATCCAGGGCCTCTTACATGCTAGGCAAGTGTTCTATCACTGAGCTACATTCCAAATCATCTTAGGAATCCTTGCTGAGATTCACGTTTAAACAATATATATACATAATCGTGGGCAACAGTTGGGTTTTCTTAACCTGGAGAATAATGCTAGAAGGCTGTAGTCTTAGAGTAATTTTTTCTGTCGTGCTGGGATTGACACTAATGATGAGGTTCTTACTACTTTGAGCAAAGGAAAAGCTCAAAGGAAAAGAGTAACACAATGTAAGGAGGGACAAGAGCCAAAGAGAGGAAAAACTAAAGAAGCAAAGCAAAGAAAAATGGATTGACCAGGAGAAGGGGCACTAGCAAGAAGCTGGCAAAGAAATGACAGCCTCCTCAACTGGACAGGGATCCAGCCAAGGCCTGCGATATTGACAAAGCCAGCAAATACTTTGTGAATCTACCGCAGCCACATGCTGCTAATACCAAGGCTTAGACAGGCAGCTCTCACTGGCACTTGTACAACATGCAGCACGCAGGACAGTCGTGTTCTGTGGGGCCCCCTCTTCAGAGCCTTGTGCTATTTGCTAACACCTTTATTGCCTCCAGTTAGTTACTCACACCACTCTCCTTCCCATCTGTCAGGGAGAGTTCCCTTCCAACATTCTGTCCTCCTTTTTATATACAAAAGAGACCCTCTCCATGTGGCTGCAAAGTGTGGAAAGATACTGAACTCCAAAATGAGGCACGTTTGGAGGGGGATTAGCAAAGATTTTCTCACATTTCTTGATCTCAACAAACATGGGGGATGGGACTATATAGGATAATGCATGTGACCCTTATACAGGCAGCTGGATGGGAAGGACAGAAGGGGTGTGGCTGGAGGCCCTTTTTGCACTGTCCTAGAAGCAGGGAATCACTGCCTGGTCAAAGTGGCAAACAGCTGTACTGGGCTTCTGTCATGTCCCAGATATTTACCCACTCATTTCCACAACTATTCTCAGCTGCTTTAAACTAGTTTGCGTCCACTTTCCCAACTCCTCTGCCCTCATTGTCTTTGCTGATAGTTTATGGCAGGTGATTTCTGTTCGAGCAAGGGATTGCTCAAATGTGAGTATGTCTGGTCAAGCAACTGAAGTTGCAGATCAGTGAGCTGTAAATAACTGTTAATTGGGGGTTTTGGTGGGCAAAAGTACCTGGTTATTTTCTCTGCCCTGTGAGTTCTATTCATTCACTAGATTCCTCTCATATTTTCTAGTCTTGAATACATCCCTTCCTGTGTAGATGCCTGGAGTACAGTGACATTACCCTCATGAAGCGTTGAGGAAGGAAGTCACCAAGCAGAGCCTGCCTATCCTTATGAAACAAGCCATGTTGTCTCATGGCACTACCTTCATCAAAATCTAGAGAGAAAATGAGGCATTCGCTTTGCCTGCCAGCTGGAAAACATTGCAATGCAATGTATCACCCTTGTGAAATTAAGAAAAATGTTTTATGCCACTATTATCAGTGATGGGCTAAAGCAAATTTCAGGTGGCTTAATGCAGAACACTGATGGTCACTCTTATTTATTAATTTTTCATTTTAAAAGAATTTGGACATTAAAACAAGGGAAGAACAGAGAGGTAAGCACAACGAAGAGAACCAGTGCCAATTCACTTATGTGTATTATCTGAAGTGAGGATCCTCCTAAAGCTGGGTTCAGTAATCCACCTGGAAGACCGGAGAATCTGAGGGCTAAGAAGGGCAGCCAAGTGCCTCACCCTGTTTGAGAGCTGCCTCAGTCCCTTCCAAGGTAAGTGGAAGAGAAATAAATAGCCTTTGCTGACTCTAACTAAATAGACCCCCAGGTTGGGATAGGGCTAAAACCCTGGCTCAGCGGTGAGGCCAACATCTTGCCCCTAGAAGCAGCCAAAGGCTGATGGATTCTCTGCAGTTGCCTATAGTCTCTGGCAATATTACTTCTTTTGGCATCAATATTTGAATTGATGGTAAACCTGAAACAAATTGCAAAATCACACCAGCAACCCCCCCCTCTTTTCTTCCTCTAGCATTTTGATAAAATAGACCACCTTATATTTGTCTAATATTATTTCTTTGATTTGATGTGCCCAGCTGGCAAGAATAACTCATCTCTGGGGATTAATTTTAGTAGCGTATCCCTGCAAGTGCCAGGAGTTCCAGAGCCCTTAATGGAACTTTGGCAGGCAAGACAGCAATAATTGTACAGCAGGTACAATGGGAGTGGGAGGCTGGTACTGCAAGGAGCTGTAATCTTCCTTTTCCCCCCAGCAGTTCTGAAAGGGAACTAGTATCTAAATTAGGTGTTATTTTAGATTGCAACTTGTCACATCCAATAGAAATGACCCCTTAAAGTAGGCAGATGCCAGTTAGAAATTTATTGGTATCTTGGGATGGCAATTGTTGGCTCATTTATTCATCCAAGCAGTCATTAAAATAACACGTATCATGCCCACCAGAAGGATGTCAGTCTCCAAACACAGAAATCTCTTGGTGATCTCTAAGACATAAAAGGACAAGTTGTCTACTTATTCAGTGCTCCAGGACAGTGGCCATGACCCAGAGAAGCTCTGATGTTTTGTGGAATATTGCTTCATATCTTAAAGCATTCCTTTAAGAGCTAGACTTGACTTGTTTTTGAGGGCCAGAGAGTCAGCCCCACTTTTCTGCTGAGGGGAAAAATGATGAGGTTCTCTACAAATTTTTGGATGGACCTCCCTTTACCTCTTCTGACTGTATACAATTGAAGGAGACACTAATTTATGTTTGGAAAAGCTACAAATTGCAAGGAATCATATAGGCAAAAAGATAAACTTGACCTTTTTTGACCTAAAAGGAGGAAAACCTTTTCATATGTAATTGTAATTGTAAGGGTAATTCTGGTAATGATGACAAAAACAAAACAAGTTTATGGTAAGTTGCTTAATAAGAATCCCAGAGAGAAAGGTTATTTTATTAGTATAACAGGATAGATATAAACACATATTGAAAGTAATAATATCATAGATTATTTTGAAAAACACAGGCACTCAAAACCAATTGCAATAAGAATGTTGAAAATTGAGCAAGATGGATTAAGCTAATATAATAATTTCTTAACCGTTGAAAAATGGTAATGTTTGAAAAAATTTGAACTATTATTATTAAAGATTCCAGGAAGCCAGAGACTTCTGGGTAATGTTTAAGTCATTGGGAATTGATCTGACATTTAATGGTAAACGTTGATTCTATAATGCCGAAACAAGGTCAATGGGTCAGAAGACTTCCATTACCTAACTAAGCTGACCTCTTTGCATGACATATCAGAGTATTGATCAAGTTTGTTATGTGGAGTTGGGCAGAAAGTTCTGTACCCCTCTTTTAATGTTCTTTAAAAACTGGGCCTAGACATTGTATTATATTTTGCTCTAATCTGCATTTCTTTCTGATCCCAATAAAGGGGTCTTTTTCTGACTTGATTTTTCTCTTTTTTATTTGGCTGTGTTCCTACATACAACTTAAGTCTCTATCTGAGCATCCTGTATTCAGGATTCATTCACTTAAGGTGGCTTCCTATTGCATTTTGCCTCCAAATTTTATTGATCTCAAAACTTGAGTGTTGGTACCAGGCTGGTACTCAGTTTTGTTGTTTTTTTGTGCTGTGGTTCTGAATGATCAGAAAAAAATTTGCATCAGCTTAACTGAAAGATATATTCTATTTTAGCTTGTGTATATTATCTCTTTTGTACATTTAAGTGTTGATTGCTTTCTCAATTTACCTATTAATCATTATCTTTTATTTGATTATGGAAACATTAAGCTGGACTTCCTAGATACAAAGCAATTCCTTCTTAGATTTTAAAAATAGAGGAATCATTCCATTTCATTTCTAACAGTGTAGAAATTTATAATGCTTTAAGCTTTTCTAAAGTATATACTCATTTTATTCTCATAATTCTTCTGTGAATAGAAATATATAATAGTTGATAAGAGAAGCCTCACTTTTTATCAACCAATTATATTACATTTCCATTGCAAATGACTAATGTAAGCCATAGAAATTATTCTACAAGGGACCTAGGAAAACTGATTGTTGGACCTACATCTTTTTCATGTTGTTAATGTGAAAAGTGCTTTATTCTGAAGATAATCAAAATGTGTGGTGGAAATTGTTAAGATGTCCACCACAATCAGTAGCCTACTTTTTTATAGGAAGATGGAATCTTAACAGGGTCAAGACTGTCCAGCTGCAGACTGTGTTTTCCTGCTCCATCAGTCAATAGGTATGTTCACAAGACTAAGCCATCTCCTGTGAAGTGTGAGCAAGTGATGGGTACCATTTAAGCCAAGCCTTGAAAACTTGCTGCCCCACTTCAGGTCTTTTTTCCTAGCCATGGACTGACTCGGTGACAGTGAGAGGGACCTTAGATGTCAGATGAGAATGGAGGCATTATTCTCTTTCTGGGTTAGTTACACATGACCGAGTAGAGCAAAGCCTCCTTGCACCCTCAACATGCACGTGCGCACACACACACACGCAGTGACTTGAATGTCCAGCATAGACTGTTATTTGAGAGATAAGTCTGCTTCCATTTTATCGGAACTACTGCATTTGGGGGACTATTTGTTTGCTTCAGTGATTTAGCCTGCCTAACTAATGTAAATGACTACTTGATTTCACTAGAAGAAAATCTTCAAGAGCATTCAAGTTGGGGTTGCTGATGCCAATGAAAATTATTAAGCTTGTCCTTTTACTCCTTCTCTCCATCAGATATTTGATAGAGAGAATAAATGTTAGGAACAGAGGAAAAAATTATAAGAGGGATATGTGGAGGACAGAGGAGGCAGTATGGAGGTGGGAGCTGCCCTATAGAAATATTCACACTTCCCAGGAATGAAAGTGAATAAAAACATTTAAAAATAGAACAAGAACATTCCTCCCCTCATCACTCTTTAAAAACTTTTGAAAAGCTTTTATCAAGTATTCTGAAATCATTGTATATCAACAGGTAATGAATTCTAAATTCTTGTTACTTTTATCCATTGTAATGAACAGAAGTTTTTTTTTACTGTACAGTGAATCAAATATGAGCATTAAGAAGGTTTCCAAGATTAAAAACAGGAGAACAGTTACTCTGTGCACAAGGTACAGAAAATAACCTCATTTATTCTTAGGTCTTGTCCTACTAAATTGTGTCTGTTGTCTTTAATGCTTCTCACTTAGATCTTTATCTTAGTAGGTCATCTCAAAAGTCTTGCATGCTAGAATCCAGAGAAATACAGAGATAAGCATCACCAACATCCATTGATGAAATAGCTGCTTGATATCCTCTAGAGGTGCTCCAAACATGCATTCACATGAAAGTAGACCACATAGAAACTTCAGGGGATCTCACAGGAGAAATGGGTTTGGGGGGGCGGCGGTAGTGTGTGCAGTAGCCCCCAATCATTACTGCCCATGGTATCCGATCTGCACCTGGCACAACTTCAGAAAAAGCCATGCATTCAGGCAAAATCACGAATGAGAAAAAAGGGCAAATTGCTTTCTTCTAATGTAGTAAATAGGGCATGAAAGTTTTATAGCTTGCTAGTAGAACCAGTTGTACCGGTTGTCTACTCACCCATAGGGTTACCCTTAAGGGAGAAAATGTTTGTATTCAGCAATTACCTCAAGCCCTATGCAAGAATGAATTTGATGTGTTGAATAAAGATCTGAGATTAGAGTTATGCACATGGTTTATTAGGATCAAGTTTGAAACTTGAATTATTGTATTTTTTAAAATTTTCATGACAGTTATAGTTTTCACTTCTGTTTTCGGCATGAGGAAGTAATAAAAGACAGTGTCCTACTTTTGCATTTCCTTACATGTACCCTTATTGTTAAGGTTTGGGTGAGTTCTCATATTCACTTACATTATTCTTCCAAGTAATTTATTTCAAATTTGGGAAATGATCATTTATTTACTAGCTACAGGTCACCTCTCTCTGCAGTTTGGTTGGGGGGGGATAATTTTAAAGTAAGAAATCTGCATAAGTTGTCCATTTATGTGCCCATCTAGGTGGATATGACAGAGAGGATCACCTACTTATTGCAGAGAATGCAACAAAGAGAGAAGACAGAGAATCCATGAAATCTCAAGATAATGAAATGCTCTGCACAGTTATTGAGTAGCAATACCAAGGCATTTCCCTTTTAAATTCCCTTTTCTTTTAAATATCTCTCAACAGAGTCCAAGTGCCTTCTCAGTATGGCTACTACTGCAGATGTGGATGAGAAAAGGAATATATGCATGGGTGTATATTGAGTGCATCACCTTTATTCCTCTCTTCTAGTTCAGCTAGTGGGAAGTATTTTTTTTATTACTTGATATGTTGCAATAATAAGGAATGAACCCAGGGCCTTCACACTGAGCTACATCCTCAGCCCCCTTTTTAATTTTTTTAAGACAGGATTCTCTCAGTCACTAAGTTGCCCAGGCTGGGTTTGAACTTTTCATTCTCATGCCTCAGCCTCTCAGAGTACTTGGATTAGAGGCATACACTTCTAAGCCTGGCTGAATGGAAAATATTCTGATACTGTTTTTTCATTTAGCAACTTGTCTCCTTTGAGGAAGAGAAATCGGGTTCAACTTTTTTCTGGCCCTTAGGGAAATATTCTAGTGAAGCTGAAATATTCTAGTGGCGAAGCTGATTGATTTTATTACAGCTACTGTGCAATCTCAGCTGAAAGAAGAAAATTATATTTTTCTTCACTGAAGATTGAATAAGAGAAAATAATCTGAATAAATATTATAT